GGGGCACAGTCCAGGTCCATACTAAAGGTGCATCTGGAGACATAGGTATACAGTGGCTAGGAGTCTCCTGGTGGGGTACAGGTCAGTGTGCCACAGAGATGGTAGCCTGGAGCAGAAGGGCAGAGTTTGGAAGTCTCCCGGGTGGGCATCAGCCAAGGCTGTGTTAATAGTATGACTGGGGATAGAAGGGGCACAGGCAGTGTAAAATATAAGTGGGTTTAGGCTTTTTTCTTTACCACTGTCTTGGATATACCTAGTATGCTAACTTTTTATATGGTTACATCTGTAGATCTTTCTCTATTACTTTTAAATTCAAAAATTAATTTATATCAAATTAATTCAGAAAAAGGGAAATTTTCTAAAGCATAATAGAAAGGTTGTGTTGCCAGGATTTTTGTTTGTTTCTTTTTAAAATTCAGGTGCCAAAGTGATTGACTTCCATATTATAATTCAGTCATGTAAGTTTTCTTAAGCATTTCATGGTTAGACATGAACTTCTTGAATGCTTGATTTTAGAGAAAACTATTTGTCCATCATAATATAATACATGAGTGTTAAATAAAATACAGGAAATTTAGAACAGAGAGGAAAAAACGTTTCTAGTTCTGATATCTGGACAGCCATAGTGTTTTGGTGTTTTGCCTTTATCTTTTCTTTATTTTTCTAATTCTGTTTTTTTAAAACTTAGGTAATCATAAGTAAGAGAAGTCTTTGAGTTGAGATTTTGCTAAAAGGTAGTACTCCAAATGTTGCTTAAGTGTATAACTGTTAAATTATTTTTCAAAGTACTCACTTCATCTAAATGTAAGTAAATCTTTTTGAAACTAAAGGGTTCTGACTTGACACTCAGTATGAACACCTCTCTGACAAGATCTTGTAACTTACTTGTAATAGTAGGGTGCCCCTGACTGTCATGTCAGTTACCCTGATACACTGATTGCTCTGTGTCTGAAGAAAAATGTCAGATGTATGTCATAGTACATGACAGGGTGGTAGGCCGTGCACTTGCCATCAATTACCCATATGTTTAGTTGCATTAAATGAAGTAAGGGCTACTAAGAAATGTACCCCCACTCCATTTATTTTTCAGTCTGCTATTAGCCTAGCCCTAGACCATTTTTATTTCTTAGTGTATGCAAAAATATATCCTCATGAGTGTTTGCTGGGTAGTAAAGTATATTCAAGTTATAATTTTTGGACTTTATAAATAATCAACAGGCACTTTGTTTCTTTTATGTGTTAGGACACATTTGTGATAGATATCATGCATGTGTTCTCATTAACAGCATTACTCACTTTAGGATCTTTTTTTTAGTGGTTAAAGATCTCAGGTCTAGTGATAGGATGTTAAGTAAAAAAAGTTTTAAATGGTAACTTTTGTGTTATTATTTTTTCTTTCTTTATTGAGGTATGATTTAGATCAATTGTATTAAATACATACTTCAGTGAGGTAACTCATCCTTAGGGATATGGTTTGTCCAAATTTATGTAGCTAGAATGTGGAAGACAGCCTGTCTTCTGGTCTCCTGTGATAAGTTGAATGGGGAAAATATTCACTCTGTTGATATATATATTCATTCTGTTGTATAATTAAGAACAATTGTAAACACATTTTGTATTACTTTCCCTTAATACTGTTTGTGTAGTTTGCATGTGTTACTCGAGGTTGATCCTAATTAAATGGTTACAGAAACGTTTTTTTCTGTTTGCCCATTTGAAAATACATATGAAATGGTTTTTATGTGTCTGTATATTTTTTATATATTTACCCAAAAGAAAGAAAAATCTTTTTTCCATAATCATATTGAAGATACACTTTTGGCATCTTCTACTCAGAATTGGGTAGAAGGAAGAAAGTAAAATTGTTTATGATATTTTAAATTCTGTTTTGTGTGGAAGAAAGACAAAGATCTTAAAAGGTATTTAGTCATTAATTAAAATGGGTAAGAGTGGATATAAAGTGCTGAAACTTTGGTCTAGAACTCAGTAAACCTAACAGGTATGGCAGAGAAAAATGGCAACTGAAGAACTCTGTAAAGGTAATAACAGTGTGGGTCTTTTTTTAGGGACAGTGAAGCTGAAAAATAAATACTTTCCCACTTGCTAATTGTTCTTTGAACTTGCATGATACTAATCTTCTAGGTTATGAAGTAGGAATTTTCTAGGAGAGAGTCCCTCAGAAATCATTCCTGAGGTTGTTTGTAGGTAGTTTAATCTTAAGTCTGCAAGTGTTTGCTGTGTGTATAGTATATTCTTTAGAAAACAGAATGGACATATTTTGCTTTATTCTAAAAAAATGTGAACTGCTGTGATTTCCCTTGATTTTGGTGAATGAAGTGAATAAAATGGATAGCCCTTTGGGGGCTTTATTATCTTGGTAATTGCTTACTTTGTGTGACTATAGCTAAAAGAATTTGCTTGAAAGGAACATTAGTTTCTAAAGAAAATAGATTTTTTTCCTTGTAGTTGCATACATAACCCTTTGAGAAAAACATTGATGATTTTTGCTTAATGATTTTTCTTTGAATATAATGTTTTGCTTTCTGCTACCTTTACTGAAAATTTTCTTTTATTGGTGACAGTAATAACTTCTCCCAAGAAGAAAATTGTGTTTCCTTTTCATTTTATGATTTGTCAGTTTAAAAATATCTCTCTGAACAGAGGTGATGAAGCTGTTTAGTACCGACCACAATTTAATGATATTAAAGAAATTAAAGAGTTTTGATTCTTCTGCTTCTTGTGTCTTATAGTTTAGCTCCTTCAAAATCTTTTATTTGGCATTCTCTTATATGGCTTTCAGATTATCTTAAGGTTTACTATTCTAAAGCCTTTCAAAAGCATAAGGATGACAGTATTTATGTGATTTGCATGAGACAGCTTATATAAGTCATAGTTGCAAACCAGGTTTTGGTTTTCAGCCTACTAGGTTATTTTAATTTTAATCTTTATTGATTGGTACTATTGTGTGAATAAATATACATGACTGTTGACTTATTAATGACATCAAACAAATGAGTGTTGGTACTTTAAAATTATATATTAGTTATATATGGTTATTTTTCTTTCTGGGTGATTTGTTTGACTCAGTATTTACTTATTTATATGTTTATTTAGGTCTTGTTTGTTTAGTGAATAATCAGTTTAGATAACCACATGATCTTACATTGAATGCATATAAACTTACCTTTGTGATGAATGATGATTTGGATAGAGTGATAATGGGACTGAGGGATGATCATTTCTCATAGTGTTTGTTTCTCATAGTGTTTTTTAAATGTCTTCAGTTTATTAGAGGTTACTTTGAGTGCCCCTTAGAATTTGGCACTAAGACTACACTCTTAGAATAAACCCTGAGTGGTTGATATTTGGCTCTCTAAAGAAGTGACCTATTTTGAGAGGTAATAGATGTTTCTTAGGACAGCAATGTTGATGACATACATTGGAACTAGAATTAAATTGTAATTTATTGCATTACTATATATGCATTTTTTCGCTTAAGGATGTTTTGTCATGAAGCCTTATCTTCCTTTCTGGAAGAGGAGAAATTAGATGATAGGAAGTTGGTGTGTGTACAGAACCATTTAGGAAAAAGAAAACTATTGAGGAGTCATGACTTATAGTCCCCACAGAAGTGTTCTTCATTATAAGCCATCAGTAGTTTAGCATGGTTTCTATAGTCTGGGTGAAATGATCTCTCAACGTTTCAATTTCCTTTATCACGTTCCATGTTTATCAGGACTTTGGTGCCAGTATATTCTTCTCAATATTTTTATAGTGAGAAATAATTATTCATAATAATGGATATGACACCATATTCCAGTGAGTTGGTTGGTTTATCAGACACTGAGAGTTTCATCAATATTGAGTTCATAGACAAAACTGAGTTTCAGAAACTTTAATGATGAGAACCTGATCTTATCAAGATGTTGACAGTGATGTTGTGTCCGAATTTCCTGTTGGCTTATATCTTTATCAAATCTATCCTTTTTAAGCCCCAAATCAAGGAAAATCTTCTTGAGTTTATAAAAATTTTAGACAAGTCTTGAAGCCCAAAGAACAATTTTAAATACAGTTTGCAATTCCAGAGATGTGTATTTGAGCTAAAAAGGAAACTTTTTGCTTTTGATAATTGGAAAGTAATTGAAGTATAGCATGTCCTATTCTAAAATGTAAAGAACTATGATAATCTACTTTGATATGTTCATAAGGATCTTCAATTTTTTATTACATTAACTGCTTAAATAATTTAACTCCTCAGCATATTGAGTTACTAATGAATGAGAGGAAGATGACTAGTTTCTTGTTTTCATTCATTTCAGTTATGGATAAATTTTTCCAGAAGATAGAATTATAAATATTTTAAAAGATCAAATACCTCATATAGCTAGAGGTTAATTCATTTGTAAATAGAACTTAGTTTGTCCAAATTTGGTCTGAATTATTCAGTTGTTTCATATTTATAATTTATGTGTGTTTCTGTATCATTTTTCTTTTAGCAATACTTACTTTGCATTTATAATTGCACACGTTTTTGCTTTAATCTGCTACCTCCAAAATTAGAGGCTTTTTTGTTTGTATGTTTGTTTTGCATGACTGTGGTCTTTTATATAACTTAAGTGTTGAATGCAAAAGGATTCAATAAATGTTTACTAGTCAGTAGTTCCTAGACTCAATATAATTTTTAAATGAGAACTCATATTTTTATGTATTGTTTAAAATTAAAAATGTTTTTAAAAGAAACTATTAATTTTTCTCCTCCTGTAATGCTTTTCTGGTAGATCTAAAACTATTTTAAAAAGTCATTTATTTTACTGTATATATTATGATAAGTGAAAAAGTATTTTTATAAAATGATTTCACTTCTGTGTTTTGATTTAATATGATTCTTATAAACCATTAGCTTTTCAGAGTTTTTCTCTCCCTTCCCTTTTTCTAACATGATTTTATAAAGGTGAATTAAAAAAATAAACTATTTAATCATACTATCTTTCTTTTTTTAGGTTGCTATGGAGTTGATGGAGAGAGTGACTCTATTATGAGTTCAGCTTCTGAAAACTCCACTGAACCTTGGTTTTGTGATGCCTGCAAATGTGGTGTTTCCCCGAGCTGTGAACTATGTCCTAATCAGGATGGAATTTTCAAGGAGACAGATGCTGGAAGGTTGATGTCATTATTCTGTTGGGTTAATATGCCTACTTTATAATGTATCTGCTTCTGACTATACTATTTATGATTTTCTGAGTTATACACTTTCATTCGATTACTTCTTTCTATCTCCTTGGCATAGAGTAAATGTATAGTAGCGGATTTCAGATCAGGGCAAGTAGGAAGAAGGACCATTTAGTGAGTGTCTGCTTTACCCTTATACCTATAATCCCATTTAATTCCAGTAATGACCCTATGATGAGACAGGTGGTAAAGTTTCCCATTTTACAGGTATAGATTCTGAGGCTCAGATCATTAAGTAATTTTAATTTGAACAAGGCCACAAAACTGGTGAACATTTAAATTTGAACCCAAATCTGTATGACTTTAAGAGTGTATAAGGAGAAAGAACCCATATAGTGATTTTAAAAAGGGGAAGTTTAAAGTATTATTAAGCTATGATAGGAGTACCCATAAGAGATAAAAGCAAAACAAAACAAAACAAAACAAAAAACAAAAACTGTAAGGGATACCCTAGGGCTAAGGAGAGTACTAGGGAATGACAAACTTGGAAGGAAGACATCTTACCCCAGGGTGGGTTTCAGACTTTGTTAGAAAAGATGTAGTTGCAGCCTCGTGGATGGCAGAGCAGCTTGCTGGTTTGCCTGGGCCAGAACTGGTCTGCAGATCTTGGCAAATGGGTGTCTGGGCACAGGTTCCAGGAGGAGCCAGGGCACTCATGTGAAGCCTGGAGTGTGTGGTGTCAGTGTTGAGAGGGAAAGAGGGTCCCCCCAATGTGAGAGGAGGTGGTCAGTTTTTATTTTTTCACGTAAGGATATTTCAGTATTTTTATTAAACATGTTTAATATTTCAACAGGAACAACAAAACAACCTATACAGTTACCACCATTATTCCCCATATTTTATATTTTAACATTGAAAAGGATAGGAAACATTTTATTCCCAAATAAAAGGTAGTCTTTCAAATTTAATAAATTTACTTTAGTAAAGTAAAAAATGTTTTTATTTTTCTTATTTTTGCCTCAGTTGGTAGAGAGCCCTTGAGAAATGTCACCACACAAGATTATTGGGATAACTAGAACGCTGGAGAGCCCAACATGTTAATGTTTAGAAAAATGGCTAAAAAACTTATTTCTACTGCAGCTATTACTAGTGTTTCTTATTACTGACATTATTCTACCTACTTAAGGTAATCAGAGAGAACCAGCTCTGTAAATTCTGTCCGGTAGTTCTTAAGTCCTGAGAGTTGAAGCAATGATGAATAAGTAAGGCAGCTTTGGAAAACACAGAGCTTCCTTTTTGGAAAGAGAATGTTCTATGTTTTTTCTTATTAATGATTTGAAAGTTCTCTTGTAAATATATAAAGTAGCTATTTCTTCATGCTATCATAATCCACAAAATAATTTGTTTCTAAATAAAGAAAGGGGAGGCCTCTTTAACCATTTATTTTATTGAGAGGTATTTGTATCTTACAAATATTTTACCTATATAGGGAGTTCCCTTGATGGCGCAGCCTGGTAAAAGTCCTGTTTGAACATTTTATTTGTGTTGATGTCCATACTCACCTATAGGCTATTATGGAAATTATACATCTTGATATAGTTTGAAGGATGTAATACCAGCTTGACTCAAGGCAAAAACAAACAAACAAACTTTAGTATTCTAGCTTCAAATGTAAAACAGGCGAAAAGATAGGTTTTGAAATATTCTTCTATCACATGGGGTAGTTAGACTTTTTTTCCTCTGTCCCTGATGGAAGCCACACATTCTATATAGAAAATGATGTTATTTAATATGAAAAAACAATTAGTACATTCTTCTCATTAAATTTTTATTTTATTCCATAGGGAGAGTATTTTACCCTGTCTTTAGTGGTCTTATAAACCTGATATTAGACTTATTCTAATATTTAGAGATAGTGCACTAGACACTATACTATATGCACTTCACATACATCATCATAACTTCTAAACTGCCTCTGTTGTACTAGGCTCTTAGACACTTCTTAGTATTTGATTACTGAATGAATAAATTAAGGAATGAAAATAGCATTGGAAGTGAATTTGTTTTAAATGGTGTAAAGGCACTACAAATACAAGGCATTTCAAAGTCAAATCTGAATTATTAATGTAGTTCCCATTCTGAAATTAGTCTTTTGAGAAGTATCTTTCTCCTCAGTTTGCTTAATAAAGATATGTGAACTTAAAAGAATCTATTAGTTGTTCTGTGCTAGAATGACAATTCTGACTCTTTGTTTTTTGGTGGTTTTATGTGGTGCTTCTTTTCTGCTCCTTTTCCCAATCAACATCTGTCATCATAGCTCCAAGCAAAATGGATGGTAAAGTAACAAGGAAGATTATTCCTTTTTGATTTCTCAATTTGTCTTAATTTCAAATTTCTAAAGTATGTACAGTTAAACAAAAAAGTATTTACAACAGGTATTAAAAAGGACCAAAATTGTCTCAACTGTTTGATATATATTTTAATAAGGACTCAAGTTGCCATCCTCACATGAGTGGTTTGAGGGAAATGATACACTTGCATGCCAATCACACTGAAATGGCAGTTTAAATCTGTAGTACTTGTGTGGCTTGTACTAAAACATTTTAAGAAGGTCAGTATGAAGCAAGCAGCCAGCTGTTGGGTTTATTGAAGATAAACTCCTACAGAGTACAGTGGTATTTCATACACCAGCGGAGCATGAAAAAACTGTGCAAGTTAAATTGAGAAAGCAGCTGCTTGTAGAAGATGTGTATCTTTATATTGAACTCCACAGGATGCATTTGGAAACTTGGGTTAAAATATTCTATCAAGAAAATCTCAAAACCTTGGATTTTCTTCCCAGTAAAGGAGATAATTTTTAAAGATTTATAACTATTTTCCCCAGTACCTCTATAAAATGATTCATCATCTTACTCCTTTAAAACTCATAGTGCATCACAAAACAGAATCATGCAGTAATCATAGCCACTCAAGCTGTGATAAAGCAGAATTTGTTGTTAATATATTCATACAGTTAAGAGAGCTTTGCCATCTCATTTTTATCCTCTTTCTTCTAGAAGTGATATCTGGTTAAATTTCAAAACCCAGTGATTTCATATTTTGTTTGGTTTTAAACAAACAAAAAAATATACAATATATTAGAAAAGGTTCAGAGCAATTTTTTAAAAAAAGAATTAGAATCAACTCCCATTTCTTTTTTTTTTTTTGCATTCTATTTCCCCCTTTAATTCTGTTAGTATTTGTTTCACATATGTATGTGCTCTTGTGTTGGGTGCATAGATATTTATAATGGTTATATCCTCTTGTTGGACTGCAACTCCCATTTCTAATTTTTTTTTAATGTACTGAAACTTTGAGCATTCTTTGTTTAGTGTTGCCGCATCATTCAGACTTGAAAAAATAATCACGTGGGCATTATAAATTTTAGTGCAAAGCTTGTATGGTAAACAGATAAATTGATATAACTTCCTTATATTAATAATTATTCTGTAAAGTCGTCTAGCAATCATCTTTAATCTAGGAAGAAAGAAAGTCAAGATTCACACCAAGAATTGTTTTAAAATGTGTCCTTAAGGATTATCCAACAGCTTTAAGGAAAAAGTAACAATAGCAATTCTACCTAATTTCTGCAGAGTAATTTAACAGTTCTTAAATTAGGATCCTTAATTCTCAAAGTGCTAAAAATAATGAATGTGAATACCTTTCCATACATGTGAAAATTATATTTTGTTTCATTTGAATAGTGGTTTTACGCAAATATTTAACAACGTAAGGCAAAGTGCAGTGAATTTGAAGTGATCTGTAATTATAGTTGTTAATCTCAGCTTTGGCAAAGCTGCTGAAAAAGTAATGCTTATTGCAGTACCTTTTTCTATAATGAAATGGTGCCATTTTGTAGGTGATACATGTGATTCATTATGTGTCTGAGATTTTGATATCTGACCACAGAATTCTTTCAGTAGTTATTTGAGATGGCACATATTTTATGTTTATTTTCTATGTGGGCATTTTATGAAAGGGTGTGAAAACAAAATCATATCTTCTCTCCTTATAGATGGGTTCACATTGTTTGTGCACTGTATGTTCCTGGAGTAGCCTTTGGAGATATTGACAAATTACGACCAGTAACACTAACAGAAATGAACTATTCCAAATATGGTGCCAAGGTGAGACAGTATTTTTGATTGACTGAAAGAGAAGGTTTTTGTTAGTTTACATGGCTTTTTGTTAATACTGCTGACTACAGAAATGCTTTTTAGTAATCATGCTATTTGTGGAGCATTTAGCACTAAATCATTTATTTTTTATAGTAATTTTCCCAGAAAGCACTATGTATACATTTTTCATGTATTCCTAATTTAGAGTAAACTAAAGGGTAAAGTGGTCACTGACTATTGCTGTTTCCTTGGCATTTATCCCATTGTCTAGTACATAGTTCTCAGACCAAATCCTTATTTTTAATCAATTGGATCCAGTGCAAACCTAATTTCTGACTTTACTTTTGAAGTAGAATTTATCAAAACTATGAAAAGGGCACAAGAAGCACCTGTTCATTTTATTACTCATGTTTCAAGGGTTGGTTTTATCTTTCAGACCACAGAACCTGCCTAGCAAATGATTCTCAGCCTCAGTAGTTTATTGATTGTTTTTATTGACTGAGCATTAGTATTATAAGTGATAAAACACCCACTTATTAATTTAAGTTCAGTTATACAATTACTACAAACATCCTTGGAATACTAGAACTATTAAGGCACTGATATTGGGAAATTGGGAAGAAAGTATAGCATCAATAATGTGTTGCAAATGGGGTGGTGAACTTAAGAGATTCTTGGAAAATTCTGATATTGAAAACTTATAAATTTGTCAGTTTCTTCTATTATGCCCAGATTATTAGGCCTCCTTGGCTCTAACCACCCACCCCCATCCCTCATCCTCTACCCTCACTCTTGTTCTTTAGTTTGGGTAATTTCTGTGGAGTTATCTGCAGCTTCCCTCTCCACAGTTAGCTAAAGCGCCCAGAAAGAAAGCAAACTCAAGCACTTAACTTACTTTCCTGGTCCTTAGGTAATTCTATACTATCTTGTTACCTCTCTGATACCTTTAAGCATAGTTTAAAAAAAATTATTTGTCCACATTTTCTAGCAGATCAGAATTAATATAAATTACCTAGTCCACCATTATTGGAAGTGGAAGTTACACTTTTGATAGTAGCTTCATTATTCACAAGCATAGAGCCTAGAAGCAACTAGTGTAAGTCATTTTCAGTAGGTACAAATTATTGCCGTAAGTATAATTCTAGAAGCAATTAAAAAAAACCAGAAACTAGATTACTTCATATATCTGAAGCTAGCTGTGACCTTAGGAATGAAAAGAATCATTATTTGTGTAATTGTCAGCTGAATTTTTTCATTATTACTTGCTTTTGTTTTGAAGTATTATTGGGAAATGGAGTCGACAATTATGTACTGTCTAGCTCATCTGCAAAATCAGACACAGTGTTGTGAGTTACAACAGGGAAAGCTTTTCCAGACCACATTGTTCCCTAATCTTGATCACTTTCTCCCGTGTTCTCTGTTGCTTATTTCCCTGGCATTTTAATAATTCAAGCAGTTGAAGAAGATTCCATTCTCTTTGTTAGGTGGGTCTATACTCTTACTAAACTACATTGTCAGGAAAATTTTCTGTGTATTCATTCTGCAATGCTTTGCTCATTTCATTATATTACATTAAAATACTTAGGGAATTATCCCAAGAGCAGTTTGATTCTGTTCATAGTATTAACATCCTTCAAAGAATTTTAATTTCTTCATTTCTCTCCCTCTTTTCTCTGTGACTCATTCTCTCTCTCTCTCTCTCTTTTGGTCTCATGTTTAGATTACTGTTTGCTGGCATTTTATACCATACACATTCTGTTACTGGTTAAAAAAAAAAAAAAAGACACTTAAATAGGCAACAGAGTGTCAGGATTTGGGAGTTTCTCCTCTGTACCGAGTCATGTTCTTGTTTTCATTAATTGCTGATATATCAGTTTGGTGCTGTCTACCCAGTAGGTAGTCACTAACTGTTATAGTATTAAAATGGTATTTTTTATGTTTATTGAAACTTTTGTTTTCATCTTTAATTGTTTCCCCCGTTCTTAATTTACTTGAAATACATTTACTAAACAGTTCTTCCTTAATTGTCTATTGGTGGTCTTTAACAATTTAGCAAGTCTTTGATGAAGATTCCTATTATGAAAGTAGTTTATATTTTGAGACTGGATTTTTCTTTTTTCTCTATGGTTTAAACAGTTAAAAAGGTAAAAAAAAATATCGATTGATGGGGGAGATTTGGGGTAATTTAAACAGTTTATGCTTTCAGTTTTACAGTTTTTCCCTTTGTATATGGAATGTACATTGTTGTCTGTATTATGTATCACTACCAATTTCACCAAATTGTTTACTTAAGATTAGTTTTAATTCTCTTAAAGCTATTTTAAAAATGCATGATTTCTTTGATTGTAGTGCCTGGATCTTTTGGTGAATTTTCTCTGGCCTCTTATTTATTTTTCTTTCATTTTCCAAGCAATATTATATTGTTCAAGTCAGTGTACCTTCATGGTTAAAGCAAGACAACCCTCGTTTGAAGACTGACTCCCGATTATTTTTTTGTGTTATTTTGAGCGAATTTCTTAACCTGTCTTCACCTCAGTTTTCTCATGTGTGAAATGGGGATGATTATAGTACCTCTTCCACATATTCATGTGGAATAGTGTCAAATTATTACATATATTAATATATGTAAAGTGCTCAAATTAGTGCCTAGCACATTGGAAGCCCTCAAATAATAATAATGATGATTATTTATATCAGTGTAATTTTGGTATTAGAATTATATAGAGAATTACTTTTTTCATGTGAACTCTTCTTTGCCTACAGTTATTTTTTGTATTGATATACTGTTGGTTCACTACTTGTATTTTGTAGATGCTTTATCTGAAAATGAGAATGCAGTCTTTTGTTCTAGAAATATTTTTACTCTGAGAGTTTTTCTATTACCTCATTGTAGGAGTGTAGCTTCTGTGAAGACCCTCGTTTTGCCAGAACTGGGGTTTGTATCAGCTGTGATGCAGGGATGTGCAGAGCCTATTTTCATGTGACCTGTGCCCAGAAGGAAGGTCTTCTTTCAGAGGCAGCAGCAGAGGAGGTGGGTTATTCAAAGCCACGACTGGTGAGCATGTTCATGAGACTTCTTGGCTCATTATGTTATGTTCTATAAGTCTGCGTAGTAATTACCAGGTTTGTTCTTAAAGTCAGCCTAGATCACCGGCCTGAAACTGGAGGAATGAATAGTACATATGAGTTTTTTGAGTCCTAAAACCTGTCAGACATTTGGAAAACATGTTAAAATTTTTATAATGAAATCTGACAAATGAAATGTAATCCAATGTGTTTTAAAGCATTAAAATATAGCATATTTTCTTAAGAATCTGAAATTGTATTTGAAATTGATAACCTTGCTCTATTTCTCTCTAAATAAAATCATTACCCTATCTTCAGTAATGTATTTTGAAGCCATTTGTGCATTTCTATTCTTTACAATTTTTAACTTATTTTTAATCTGTAATTTTCCTTCTATGTTTATTGGCTTTAGATTAAGCAGTCAGTTTTCAGGGATTTTTAGGGACTCCTTAATATTCTTTCAAAGGGTCTGTGAAGTTAAACCCTTTATAACAACATGAAAATGGTATATACTTTTTTTACTCTTACTTCTTTCACAAGCCATAGTAGAGATTTCCAGAGATTATATAACATGTAACAATGTAACATACTGAATGTGGAAACAGTTTTGAGAATGCAGCTGTCTTCTTTCATGTGAGCTATCTAAACATGTAAGAGACTTGCAATAATGAAAAACAGTGCTGCGCTTCTCACTAAATTTGTGTGTGTGTAGGTGTGTAAATTATAGTATTTTTCATAAAAGTGTTAACATGTAATGGGGCTTGTTATTTTTAAGTGAATGAATATTTTAAAAATTTCTCAGTTTTAGTTTCTAATACATTCACTATCTATAAATATAACTCACCTAACTTTTTGGGTCTTCAGTAATTCTTAAGACTGTTAAGGAGTCCTAAGACCAAGTTCTGTTGATTCTTTAAGCTCTTTATATAGACAAGCAATGGAGTGTTTGCTGGTTAATTCTACTGTATATTCATGATGAATTTATGGTAATATCTAAGTCTCTTCTTATTTTGTTCCTTCTTTTTACTGGGTAGATTTTCAGTGTCATATAAAAGTTGGTTTATTATATTGGACTTTTATCTCATTTATATCATAGACAGGAAACAAATAAAAAAGATAATCTGCTGATAAAAATTTGTTGAGCACATTTTGAGGAATATATTTTGTGAATAAATGGATCCTATAGTGATTCTATTTTGGGCTCTTTTATCTTTTTTTGTACCAGTCTCTGATTCTGATTAATTCTACTTTGATTAATTGATAAAGGGTGCTGGATGAACACAGCATTTTCACATATCACATATTCACAGCTTTATTAAGTTAGATTTCTTACTTCTTGATCACAGTTGTATATAGGCAGTAAAAGAAAAGTTGAAAGAGAATAAGTAACCCAGTTTCATCCAATGACATCATACACCTTACTGTATTTTTCATGACTTTGTATAGCCTTGTGACATGATACTTTATTTCATTGTGAGGATCCATTTGAAGATTCTATTCTTTTTGATACTATGTGAAAATTCCACATTATTTAGAATATTCAAACCATGTTATAACAGCATATCTCTGTATTACTAAACTGAGCTATAGCAGTGGTTCAGTTATGCTGACTATAACTTATATGTATTATGGTTCACATCATGTAGTTAGACTAAGGTTACTTATATTCCATCTAAACTATATGGTAGTTTCTTCTGTGATGAAGTATGATTTTGGTACTACTGAACATTGTTATACTATGTTACCTAATTTCTACTAGTGTCAAAATTTCCTTTGAAAAAATATGTTTTTTTATAGACTTTTGATCTTCTCTTTCTCACAACTTTTTACTTAATGGACTAAAATTTTTCATGGATTACAGTTAAAGGACTCAAATGAGATATTTGGCTATTGAACTGATGCCTTAATATTATTAGGAGAACCAGAACTGGTTGGAATGGGCTCTTGATTGATCAACAAATTTTTTTCATGAATACATCAGGGAGTTATGTTCCTTAAAGTTAGACATTTTGTCTGGGATCTTCAGTGATACCTTTGTGTGGCTATGTTTGACATTTGGTAACTTGCACTTTATTTTTAAAATTATTCAGGATGAATTCTGTGACAATTGCTCAGATCACTTTCTCTCACACTCCACTTCTAAGTTGACAGCAAATTGGATCACCTGTATCTACAAAATGTATCTAGACAATGTCCATTTCTTACCAGATTTACTGCTGCTGCTACCGTAGTCCCAAGTTATACTTTGTCACCTGGTTAATATAATAATCTCCTTACTCTTCCCACCCTTGCCTTCCTAGAGCAGAGGATGGCAGTTTTATCTATAAAAAGCCAGATACTAAATATTTCAGGCTTTCTGGGCCTCTGGTTTGTGTTGAAACCACTTAACATTACCATTTATGTGAAAACAGCCATAGACACTATGTAAATGAATGAACATGACTGTTCAAATAGACAGTTCTTATTTTCAAAAAGAGGTGCACCAGATTCAGCTCTCAAGTCATAGTTTGCCAACCCTTTCGTAGAGAATACAGAACATTTTCACTAGCAGCTAGTATTATTCTATTAAAGTCTAAGTCAGATTTGGTCATTCATTTGCTCAAAACCCTTCAGTGGCTTTCCGTCTGATTCAGACTAGAGGTCACTTTCCATCTAATGACTACAAGGCTCTGTGTCATCTGGCTTCATATTACCTTTCTGACCTCATCACTTCTTCCCATTTAGCCTCACTGGCCTTCTCCCTGCTCCTGTAGTGAATGTGCCTGGTGTTTCCTGCTCCAGGCCCCTATACTTGGTTCCTGCATGGGCTGCCCTTCCCCCACATATATCCTCATGGCTCACTCCCTCACTTTCATTAGGTCCTCAAGCCATATCTGCTTCTCACTGTGGTCTTTCCTGGTCACCGTGCCTGAAGTTGCAACCCTCTCTGTCCTATAACACTTTCTATTCCCCTTTCCAGCTTAATTTTTTTCTTTTTAATACCTAACCACTATCTAATATTCTTACTTGTTTTATTTATTATCTGTCACCTTCATTTGAACATAGATTCATGAAGGTAGGGATTTTTTTGTTCTCCCTTTATTTTCACTGCATTCTCAGTATTAAAATACAAGTTGAGGGAGGTGTCCTTTTTATCAGTCAACTTTTATTTGATCAGCTGTTAGCATGTAAGGTCTTTTTTTTTTGGTAAAATAAGTTTTTGCTTTTCCACTATTGTTTTGATTTCCTCATTATCTAAAGACATTGCCTGAGGGTACACCATTGATATACTTTCTTGTGCTATTGGAATAACCATTTTTTTAAATGTACATCTCTTTATCTCTTTGGTTTACATAAGATGATGTTCACTGCTACCCAGGCTCAGTTAATTGTCAAAGCATATGTTAGCAAAAAGATCACTTTTACTTTTGATCTTTTCTAAGAATATAATCTTACTTAACATTTATTTGAAGTTTGTAAGCAGTATGATTTATTTGGAATATATATAGAATATTAATTCCTCTAAACATTCTATATACACTCTATTATTAGACACTTACATACCTGGAAAAAATTATTTTGATTCTTTATGCTGATGTGTGTTTTCTGTTTTTGTTGTTGTTGAAAGTATTATTGATCTTTTTCATTTATATTAACTGGGAATATTGATGAATCCATTTTTCAGTACATACAAAGTTCCTTCTCTCAGTTCTTAATACTAGGCATAGCTGTATATTTACATATTAACTGTTTTTTTTTTTTTTAACCTTTGATCCCCATTACTCATTTTTCCTTCCCCCACCCTCACCCATCACCGCCGGGCTCTGGCAGCCACCAATCTGTTCTCATAGAATTTGTTTTTTTGTTTGTTTGTTTTTTAGACTCCATATATAGGAGGGATCATACAGTGTTTGTATTTCTGTCTGACTTATTTCACATAGCACAATGCTCAAGGTCTATCCATGTTTTCACAAATGGCAAAATTGCTTTTTATGGCTGAATAATATTCCATTGTATATGTATACCACTGTTTCTTTATCCATTCATCCATCAGTGGACACTTAGGTTGTTTCCATATTTTGGCTATTGAATATAATGCTTCAGTGAACATCTAGTTGCATATTTCTTTTCAAGTTAGTGTTTTCATTTTCTTAGGATAAATAACCAAAAGTGGAATTGTTGGATCATATGGTAGTTCTATTTTTATTTTTTTTGAGGAACCTCCAAACTGTTTTCCATAGTTTACATTCCCACCACAAGGTTTTCCTTTTCTCTATATCCTTTCCAGCACTTCTTATCTTTCCAATAATAGCCATTCTGACAGGTGTCAGATGATATTCATTGTGGTTTTGATTTTCATTTCCCTGATGATTTCGTAATATTGAGCATCTTTTCATGTACCTGTTGGCCATTTGTATGTCCTTATTGGAAAAATGCTTATTCAGGTCCTCTGCCCATTTTTAATTGGATTTTCTTCTTTCTTCCTTTTTTTTTTTGCTATTGCATTCTATAAGTTCTTTATATAGTATAGATATTAGCCCCTT